GTTCAGGAATGAGCCGGTAAAAATGGCAGACACTGGCATTTCCACATGCCCTCCAACCCCATCGCTGCCAGGCTAGTCAATAGGATGAATGGGCTACTTAACCAACAAGTGGGATGGGAAACCTGCTCTCCCCACGTGTGAGCGAGGAAGCTAACTCAAGCCCTGTGAGCTGTGACTCGACATCCCAAAGCAATCGTCCCAGTGCGTCATTGCCATGTTAACCTAGAGACAACTAGTCCACCCCACAGTTCAACTGTCAACCACTGAAGGACCGTTGCCAACTGTCAGTCAGGACAATAACCTACTTTTGCCCCCAGAGCCACCCCCAGGGGAACACATTATAAACGGCCCTGGAGTTGGCAAGTAAGTCCCCAGTGGTTTGGGTTTGCCGCCTGGTGGGGAATAGGATTAGAAAGAGACTTTAGACCATAATTCAAAAAGACACCTGCACCCCAATGTTCATAGCAGCACTATTTACAATACCCAAGACATGGAAACAAACTAAATGCCCCTCGACAGATGACTGGATAAAGATGTGGTATATTTATACAACAGAATACTATTCAGCCATAAAAAATGATAACATAATGCCATTTGCAGCAACATGGATGGCCCTGGAGAATGTCATTCTAATTGAAGTAAGCCAGAAAGAGAAAGAAAAATACCATATGATATCACTCATATGTGGAATCAAAAAATAAAAAAGACAAATGAACTTAAATATAAAACAGAAACAGACTCAGACATAGAACAGAAACTTGTGGTTGCCAGGGGTGAGGGGGGTGGGAAGGGACAGACTGGGAGTTCGAGATTTGTAGATACTGACAGAGATATATATAGAACAGATAAACAAGTTTGTACTGTATAGCACAGGGAAATACATTCAAGATCTTGTGGTAGCTCATGGTGAAAAAGAATATGAAAATGAATGTATATTCATGTATGACTGAAGCATTGTGCTGTACACCAGAAATTAACACAACATTGTAAACTGACTATACCTCAATAAAAAAAAAAGAAAAAGAAAAAGAGACTTAGAGATTTCACCTGTCTTCTACCCGGCCCCACTGAAGACCACTAAGTTAATTAATCCAGGTCCCCCACTGGAGAACAGCAGTGTCCCCTCCTCTCCGGCCCCAGCACCAGCTGTGGGGACCCAGGGTGGACAGGTGGACAAACCACAGGCAGGGGTGGTGTCAACTCAGAACGCCGTTACTGCTCGTATTTTGCTTAATGGTCATGATCTCCATTAAACATCTTATATTGCGTCCCTAGTCTGAGGGGAGGGAATCTGTCTGTGGGCTGGGCAGCAATGATGACCTCACTGGGAAATGAGTCTGCCTGCTGGGTCTGCAGTGAGATGTCCGTGTCGTTCTCCTCTGGACTGCCATGAAAAATTGACCCGATAAGCGCTCGATTCCAAAACTTGCCCACGTCTTGGTGAGTTACTATCTTCAGCATTACTCAGTGTCTCAGTGTTGAGCCCTTTAGCTGCTGTTGTCCGTGCTGCGTGTGTGGCATTTGGTTGCCACGCGCCTCTGCACACCCGACCCCAGGAATGTCCCAGGAGGGGCAGACCAAGGTTGTGAGGGTCGCACACACGTCAGGGTGGCGTGTAGGGTCAGGCCACTCAAGATGGCTGTGCTCTTGCTCTCTGTCCATCCCCTGCTCAACCAGTCCCTGCCTCACCTGTACCCTGTTCACATGACTAACCCATCCTCTTAATCATAGGGTTTAATCAGTAACTACCTAGTGCTTGCCCCTGCCCCAGCCTTTGGTTTCCTTGGTAACCAATGAGCCACCCTGACGTCACCTCCCCCATGTAAACGGTAGCCTCCCTCTCCCTGGAGG